TGAATAATAAAAGCAAGAATCGGAAGGACATTTCAGAAGGCAACACACTTCTCCAGATGTCACACCTTTCATTTTCCTCTCTGCTGTCTGCAGTCGCCAACGTCCTAATACTCAGTGGCAGCTAATCATCTCTCAACTATATCCAGACTTAAAACATCATTTCTTCCAATCTGTCTATTCTGATTCATCTCCATCTTTCTGTGGCTGGTCCTGAAGATTTCACCCCCACTCATCATGTTTCCAACCAACACTCAGTGTTGTTGTTCACACATGCCAGGCGCTCGCTCAGATTTCACCTCACACACATGGAAATGAACTCGGTCATGTTGATAATTTACAATTCAGAATTCTGACTGTGAACGTTTGAAGTCCCAAGAAATGAACAAGTTCACGTTGATTTCTTCCATTTTACTTTTATAAATGAACAGTAGTACAGTAGAAAACACGTTTTCAATGGAACCTCGTCCTACTCATCCAAGCACAGTCGCTGCCCCTTTGTACTTACATGCATAAGTTCAGTGGTGAAAAGTAACTACGGTAAGTATTCACACACTGAATGATGAGACTTCGCTTCAGGTGTTAGCAGCATTGCTTACAGTGCACAATACACCACGTGCAGCTCATGCGCTGTGGTTTACTGCACCGGAGGATTCTGGTTCTCATCATGATTCGCTCCACGCTCAGACTAGTTTGATTCAAGAGCTCACAAAATATCAGCAATATTAGAAATAAAGCAAATGAAGCCTTTGCTGCTCACGTTTACCTTCTTTAGTTATAAACGGATCCATTCAGCTCAATGAAAAATAAGCATCTTCAATGAACAGGGCTCTTTTCGTGCTGTCATGCACAATACTGCCAATACACAAAATCTGCAGATTAGAAACAGCAACTTGGCAAAAACCCAAAACAGTATAATAAGGTGATGGTACGGAGTTCATCCAGTGAGGCTGTAGCAACACAAACTGCTTCTCTGCTGACACTAGAAACGAGGTTTGTGTGTTGTTACAGTTCTTCTGTAAAATGAGGCTCAGCAATCTGCAGAGTGCTTATTGATTTTTGTGGTGTGAAGCTCTGAAAAGGCTCTGTCATTTGTCAGCCTGGGTGTTATTCTCATCTTTTTGTCCTTCAGGTCAGCTGCTCATGATAACTTTGTCCCACCACCTCAGTTTGGGATACGCAGACTTGGACCTGAGAGAAGAGCCTCCTCGAGCTTTCCTGAAAACTTCAGTGTAACACAAATCATCTCATACAGCAGCTATTCTGGTGTTTGGAATCATATCTGTTACAATAATAGCTTTCAGAGAGCTGCAGGAGCTTGTGGCCCTCACCACAACGTCCTTCCCAAATCTCTTCTTTTAGTCTCTTATGTTAGTTATAGGTTATATGGTTACAATTGTTAAAATAATAGTTACAAGGGAAAATCTGTCTGGTGTGACAAATACCAGAGCTTCCTGTTAGCTTTATATTCCATGGCAAAAGCAAAAGTCAAAACGTGGTGTATGATGCAGTAACCTGTGTAGGCTGCTGAAGAAGAAAAATAGCAGATGGGTTTTAAAGAAAAGCACAGTGACCCTCGAGTCTTTTGTTTTTCTCTCCAGAGAAGCAGGAAAAAACAATTCCCTGTCAGATTTGAGCGTGACCGGTGTGAGTAACTGATTGATCATCACAATAACCCAACAGAAGCATTTATCTGGGAAACCAAATGCCGCAGCAGAGCTCTGCCTTGGACTTGACAAAGCGCTGCTGTTTTCTCAAGTATTTACAGACCTGACACGTTGAGGGCTTTTTTTTTTTGGACTGGGAAATCACTCAAGAATATCGTGTGCTGAGATATCTGTCAATCCTGTAATCTTCACTGAGTCACAGCAGAGGGAAGCATCCGTCACTGGTGCACAATCATTTCCCAGAGCTGTTGTCATCAGGACCCTAAGACGTGGTGCAGATAAGAGTGCAGCTCTTATAGGCACCACTGACTTAATATATCATTACATGTGTAACAAAAGGTGATGTCTGTCTTCAAGATCACTCAGAAGCTTTGCAAAACTTAAAAAAGGTGCTGTTGGTTTTATAAACCACTGCAAGAAACAAGAGTGGAAATATGATTTAGTTCCTGACATTTCAGCCCATGAGAAGGTGTCTACAGACATTTGGCAGTGGGGATGTAGCTCCATGTTATGTTTTACTAACAGAAGACTTGACAAGTCCTGCACCTAAATCAGACTAGTATGGTTCCCACTTTGTCTACAGATACTCAACATTAAGGTTTTGTTGAAATACAGCTTATCTACAGTCTTGACTAATATATTATTCCCAGCAGCTCTGCAGTCCGGCACAACCGTCATAGTTCAGCTGTGAAATCTTCAACATTTCTGGGTGACTCCCGACACGACGGAGCTCACTGGAGGAGAAATGACGAGCTGTGTCTTGGTTTGTCTGAAAGTGGAGGCTTTCAGCCAAACTTCCAGGAATCCTTTTTAAAAGTTCAATCTTGAATCAAAGTTTTACTGTTGCTGTCAAACTTTCTGTTCTATCCCTACATATGCATGTAGGCAGTTTCCAGCGGTGCAGTGGCATATTTACCCTCAACATTTATGATCATTTTTAAAAACAGCGGAGTCTTCATTTTAAACTGAGGTCGAGAAAAGCAGCATCCCATTTCTAGCTGATTTCATTGGCTGAAATGAAATATGCTCCAGCACTGCGGGCTGGATGTCAGCAGAGGCTCAAGGCTAAAGGGCCTGGATCAGAATCAGTCAGAAACCTTGATCAGGACACCCAGAAAACTGGGAGGCATGTTTTCTCCATGATGCTTGTTTGTCAAAGCATTAATGAATGAACCTGGAATTCACAGACTGCTCTGTCTGTCTCATACTTTCAAAAAAGGGTGAGTTTTCTGCGGCTAGTCACTGCCTTTATTACCAATTGATCTGCCAGTTTTATTTTTTATTAATCAACTAATCAGTTTGTCTATAAAGGCCTGTTATACTTTCCCACAGTCAAAGGTGACACCTTGAAATGCCTTGTTTTGGCAGACCAAAAGTCCTAATCCAACGATACCTAGTTCACCTATCATGTGTAACAAAAAAGCACATTGTTTATGTTAAAAGAATGATTTGATTAACAGAATAGCTGCCAGTTAATTTTCTGTCCATCAGCTAATCGAGTAATGCTTGAAGCTCTGCTGTGGACACTTGACGAAGCTCACTGAGAACCTGCCGTCTGATTTATGTGAAGTTCCTTAGGAGATGTTTCCCTGCATCCCTATAAAGTTACATCTACGCTTGTGACTTGCAAAGAAATTACCTTTCCCTCCTCTGGTACCTGTGTGACTCAGTATGTAGAAGAAGCTCACCGAGACCTCAGGGTGCAGGGATTAGTTTCAGTTCCAGCCTCTGTACTGCAGGTATTATATTGTATTATATAATACTGTAGGTATTATAAGAAGCTCTGTTTCAGCTGCGACTGCATTGCATTTATGTCACACCCCTAAAAATAATGTTAATTTGTCATGCAGAATAGCAATAAAACAAAAGAGAGATTATCCTCTGCGCTTCCTGAAACCGTCTGTTAACTCCCACACAGCTGCTGACAGAGATCACCCAGGACTCTTCTACCAAAGCACAAAGCAAATTAACTATAAAATAAGATTCACCATCCCCAGAGATTTCTGTTCTGCCGTTAACACCTTTTTCTTCCCTCAGATAAACAGAACAACAACGTTCAACCGCAATTCCCACAGCAGCTATAGTCAGCCTGGACGCAGTCACACAGCAAAATAACAATAACAACACAAGCCCGGTCCCTCGTGTGTAAAACGCATCAATACATCATCCTTCTCACACAGTTTCTTCATTAAAAAAACCCTACAATACACAGAGGAAGCTTGTGACTCGGTGGTTGCCAGTTCAAATCCAAAGACTGATCAGATGTGGGAGTACAGTATCACTCAGCAAGAGACTCAGACCAATAAACTGTGGACATGTTCCCCTATTGATTTTCTGTCTGATCACAGATCGATCAGATCATTATGTCGTGATAAATTCTGTGATGAGCTGACATGGGATAATTCACTGTAAACAATTAGGGGAAATAATATTTCAAACACTGACGAGCACATGAGATTTGTCAGATCAATCCAGTTTTTTCCAATATACCTTATTTCTGAAGGTTTTCACATTGTAGTATACAACACAACAAACCCAACTGGAACAGAGCAGCTCTTAGCAATACACATAAAATACAGCTAAAATTATTGATTATTTTCATTATTAATCTACTTATTATCCTTCAATAAAACAACCCCACAGGTCATTGGTGACCCAGAGTTTTGCTCCATTGTTAAGTGACATCTAGAGGTCGTATGAGTCAAACGCCCCAAAACAACATGTTTACATTCAGGTGATTGATGATGACAAGAAGCCTCGCAATGTTACAGAGCAACAAAGTCTAAAGACAAAGTCAAGGTGGAGGGATGAGTCGACTAAACGCTGGAGCTTCAAACATTGAACACTGTTCTATAACCCTAAAGCTGCTCTAATGTCTTTTCAGTCTAGAAACTGACACCATAACCTGCTCCTAACCACTCCTCAGCCCTCCCATCACATCCTGTTTCCTATCAATGACAAACTACAGGTCCCTGGTTGGGACAAACTGTACAAAGTGTAGCCTCCATTCTGATGCTAGCGTTAGCTGGCTAACAGTAAATGTGTCAGTCCAGTAGGATGCTCTGGTTACTGCTGATGTTACACAAAGCT